TCATCATTTCAAACACCTCATCTTTTAAAGGAAAACAGTGGGTATGTTCACTTGTTGTGGGTTCCTTCCCTTCCCACTGCCATACCCCACAACGCAGACCAAATACATAGGTTTTGATTCTGGCAGTCCCTAATTTTAGACTCTACAAACCTTGAGCCACGTCACATGAGGGGAGGTCACTTCATCGTGCCAGATGGAGGCAAAAAATTCAGATATTTTGAGAGGCTGACCCAGTGTCATTCCCCTGGTGGATGACAGGATGTTAAGGTTAGATATTGGAAAATAAGGTTCATGCTACTCTGTCAGTGGGGCGAGTGCAAGCTGCCTGTTTGACAGAGAAGGTGGTGTGTGGTCTGGACCTCAAGAAAAAGGAAGTCAGCCACCCAGATCAAAAATTACCCTGTCGGCCATCCAAAAATGATTCTGACATCAGCTTAGAGAGGCAGGGGAAAAAAAATGGTGAAAAAAATGAAAATTGTACTTTGTTCTGGGGTAGTCTAGGGAAATTCGTGGATCCGTAATTGCCAAAGGCACATCGGTGACATCTCTTTATTTTTACTGTATGTTGCAAATGTACCTGACTCAAGTTATACAATTCTAAAGTTAACCATTCATCACTTCTTAAAAATAGAGTGTTTTAAGTAAAGTACAGTGAAATAATATGCATTTCTATTTGACCCTTCTTTTTAATTTGAACAGAAGCAAAAGTCACTGAAATTGATAGAAGCCACCCATTAGTTATATAATTATTTTGCCCACTATGGACATGTCCTTCTATTTCATTTGTCATAATTTAGGAAAAAAATGATTCTGTGGCCAAAACATCATACTCATTTTATTGAGACTGTCTTGTCTTAAGGTCTTAAAAACTTTCTTGAGACTCCTTGATCTGATTCTAAATATAACTACATTCCTTAAGTCTCATCATATTGCTGCATTAAGAGATATTGGGCTTATATTTTTCAACAAATTTTAATGATCTGAAAGGACCTAAATCTATCCAAGATTTGCCTCTTTTCTGAGAATGTGGATGAAGTAAAAGGTACATACCTATTTTTAAACATCTTCCAACTGTGACGTGACCATTTAAGTACTTCACACTATTAGTTTTTTTCCATCTCAAGAAAAATATCTGCATATTGTTGTTTATTCTGTAAAATATTCCTTTTTTTAATAGGCTGAACCAAATAATTTCTCATTTTTACAGGCTTCACTTCACTTTTCTCGCAGTGAATAAATTGCAACTTATTTCCATGAAATTCACAGATGACACAGATCTTTATTTTGCATAAAGGCATAAAGAAGTGTCTAATATCTTCAATATTCATCTGCTAAGTGGACATTTGCATTGGGTTAGAACGGAAAGAGAGCCCCAACCCTCCCGCAGTGACAGCTGTACAACGGGATGACATCTGACAGCTGTGACAGTACTGAAGGGAAACTCAGATGACTCGCCGCCTCCGTGATCCAATTACAGCACACATCCCTCTGACAGAGCCAGCAGCTTGACTCCAGCGTTTGGAAGGACAGTATTGATCTCTTGTCAGAAACCAGTTGCCTGCCTGCAATTGTGCGTTGCTGAACTTTGAAAAGCTAGAGTACCCTCTTAAATGATAGGGGCAGTCAGGTTATAGTATTCAGGTACAAAGAGAGGTGCAAAGGGTATCTGCTAAATGCTCGGAACTTGAACAAATCATAACAATATGACAGTGCAATCATACTCAAGGAGCCCAGCTGATCTCGCTGGCTACTGTCTGTGCTAATGGAAAGACAGCTCTTTGTGTTTAGTGGGATGATCTTACTTGATGAAAAGGCCACTGCAATTAGTGCATGCCGGTCGGCTGTGCTGGGTGACAGCAGCTTGGATGGTGTAATGGCAGTTGCCAATAACCCTAACTTCAAGAAAACAGACAATCCGGCCTTTGAGCCTAACACTCTTGGCCCCTCTACTTCACACCTCTGTTCGGCTTTTACTTTAAATCTCGCAAGGGCAGTGTGGTACAACCTCACCAAACAGAACAACTTGGTCAAGAGGTCAAGTACCCGTCTCCTCTTGCTTTCTATTCCTGACTTCCTGAGAGTGAGAGAGAGAGAGAAGGAGAGAGGGAAAAGGGGAGAGAGAGACAGAGAGAGACACCCATGCAAAAGATTAACAAACATAAACATATCTTTCCACTACAATTTAAAGGAAGCTAATGTGTGAGCATCAATATTCCAAGATGCAAAACTTTAAGATACATTTTTAAGACTAGGATGGTAAAGCAAGAGGCTAACATTATGGTGGAGATAAGAGATATCTAATGGCAAATGATCTAATATTTTAAGGTATATGTGACTCTCAATGTTCAAAAACTATCAAAATCCCAGGATAATTAAAAATTATCTCCAGTTTACCTTTATTATTTTAGGATTGGATAAAGATGGATGAAATATGCTAAAACTTAGAGCATACACAAAACTTAGAATGCAAATCATTTCAGGCTCTTCCTCAAGTACAGCTCCAACAGATAACGTACTTGGGTAGGAGTACAACAAGTTAAATTAAGTACTGGAACACACACACAAGCACTCACGTACATACACAAATTATACCAGAATAGACAACTCTATGATCAGAAAAATTAAGTCTAGTCCTTGCTTCTGCAACACATATACTAAAATTAGAACAATACAGAGATCAGCATGGCCCCTGTGCAGGGATGATCCACAAAATCAAGAAGCGTGCCATATTTTAAAATAAATATTCTTTTTTTATTGAAGGATTGATGGCTCACGATGTTCCATTAGTTTCAGGTGTACAGCACAGTGATTCGACAAGTCTATATGTTACGCTATGGTCACTACAAGTGTAGCTACCGTCTGTCACCCTACAACGTTATTACCGTACCACTGACGATATTCCCAATGCTGTGCCTTTCATCCCCATGAATTATTCATTCCATAACTGGAAGCCGGTACCTTCCATTCTAAATATTCTTTGTGTACCTCACATTTAGAACTTTCCTTAACTTTAGAAGTTTTTTCTGTGCTTGTTGAAGAGGTAATAAGCATTATTAACTCTAGGTAGACAGGTAGTGAAAACCAAAGCTGTAGAATGGGTATAATGGCAAAACTGGCAAACTGACATTATATAAACCATAGATGTAAATCATTGACTATTTCAAATAGTCAAATGTTGAAGAACAGTTTTGTTTATTTAAAAAATAAAATAAGGTATGAAAACTAGGGCTTCAGAAATGAGCAGAGAACTAGTGATCAAAAGCATGAAAAAAACTTCGGGAGAGCTGTAGAGCAGAGAAAAATTGAGATATAATAGTATCTAAGATAGAAGAAAATACAGAACCAATGATCCAAATCCTTAATATATACTCACAAACACTCCTATTCACACATATGTAAATAAATGCTAATTAAAACACCTGAGAGAGCCCAAATATATAAATTGGGTAATACAAAATTAATGAGAATATGGAGACACAGACATTTGAGTCTTCTTTAGGGGCGTGTAAATTGTGACAGTTTTTCTCAAGGTTAATTTGAGAAATATCTATCTGAAATCCATTGTGAAGAAAAATTGCTCAAAGATTTGTATGCAAGAATATTCATTACAATATTGTTTGTAATGAGAAAAAATGAAAATAACCTGAATATCCGGTTGGAGGGGACTAAGTAACTATATCATGATGCATGTGTAAAATAGGATAACCAATAAAGGGAATGAGGTGGATTTATACAAGCTGATATGAAATTTTCTCCACGATATAAATATAGTATTAACTTATTTGTATAAAAGTGTACACAAAACAAACATATATGTAGGGATATTTGTATATTTGTGCATATATGAATATGTATGACATCTATATCTACATATGCATCCTTTATGCATATTAACATTTCTGGAAATACAAACAAGAAACTGATAATAGTGGTTATCTATTGTGAGTTGGAGATGGTAAAATTTACTTTTAATTTGTATTACCTTACACTATTTACATGCATATGTATTGTCTTGATAATTTTTTAAATTAGTTAATTAAATGTTTTTGTGTTAACGATCTCTTAACTAACATAAAACTAGCCTAAAGATAGAACCTAAAGAATTCGTAGTCTTCATTCCTTTGTTAAACCTTTTTTTTGTTATCTATCGTAGATGTCAGATTTATGCTCATCTGGGAACATGAAGAGTAATTTGCCTGACCACAAGAATCTCATGGTCTAGTTGGGGAGATTTAAAATAAAAGGGGGCTAGGAAGAATGTTTCACATTATGGTAGATATAAGGAACAAGATGTCAAGGAAATATGCCTAGAGGACCCTAGATTTAAGTCTCAGATGGAAATGTGGTCAGCCAAGTGAGGGAAGGCATAGGCCCCAGGATTTAAAGCACAGAAAACAGAATGGACAAAGGAAAAAGGGAGCATGCAGGCAGTTCAATATGACTCATCCTCAGAAAACAGATAAGCAGTGAAAGACGAATCTGGAGAGGAAAGTAAATATTTCAAGGGGAAAAATGGGGATTAATGCCTAAAAACTCCTGCAAAAGTTCCAAATTGTTTCAATCATTGATATAGTATAGAGATGCAGTTGTCCGAATATTATGTTGAAAACTAAGAATCACGTGGGCTTCACATTAAAAGAAGCAGATTCATGAAGTCCAACACATACTCGTCAAATTTAACTGATAATCTGCATTCATTAACAAGTATCCCTGGTGATTGTTATTATCTGACAAGTTCAGAAAACATTCGTGGAACATTACAATATCCATCGGGCTATTTATCTTGAGCCAAAACTTGATCCACTAGAGAAAAAACTACCTAGACCAAATGAAAAACTCCATCTTTGATTTTTTTCTATAGTGGCAAATATTAAGAAAAATATATAACACAAAATCTTAATTCCACCAAGCCCCTATTATGAGATAATTGTTTACTTTCTTGATGAATAAATAAATAAATAAATAGATAGATAAATAAATAAATAATTATATTTCCTTGAAAGCATCTCATAGAACAAAGAAAGTCCATAACCTTTATTCATCTGACTTTTTAGGACAATTTATTACGAATTCAAATTATAGAATAGTATGAACTTATAAACATTTTAAAATAAAAGATTCTACTATGAAATTGAAAAAATATAGATATTATGAAATTCCCTTGAAGTAGTTTACATTTTTAATTATTTTCAATCTTACTCTAGTTCCTTAAATTTTTGAATTGTTTTATGACTTTAAAATACATTTCACTCATATTAGTTTTACCTTCTCCATTAAATAGGTGAATAACTTTACCAGTAAACATTTACTATATTTTAATAGCTTCTGTTTTCTAAAAGTCTGGAAATATAGATCTCTTACAGGCCAAACCACAGCAAAGAAAGAGAATATGTATTTCTAGCTTCATTACAGCCCTCAAGATGGTGAGCTTGTTGTTCTGAGTATTAGGCTTCTGTGGTCTAATTGTAGGAATTGATCTCTTTGTGGCTCATTTAACATTGTTCTGCTCCATTTCAAAAGACTGTGCCCTTAAACCTGTCCATCTCTCAAATACCTGCCATTGGTCAGAAGGAAAATGAAGGAAGAGTGTAGATGGTTTCATAGAAAAATACACAACCAATAAATTTAATTCAATTCAATTCAATTCAGTGGAACAAAAACTTAAAGAATTCTATACCATGGATGCAAAACCAGGAATCATGAACTGGAGCTCAAAGATGATATGGTTAATAAACACAAATAAATATGTAAAAGAAATAAAACAGTTTAGTGAGGAAACATAATAACAGAAATATATACAAGGCACAGGAGAGTGAGGGTTATCTGATGAGAAAGTAGGGAAGAACGTATTTATGAATTTAAGATAATTCTAAATGATAAGTAAGCATTCATCAAATTTATAGGGTTTGGAGAGAGGTTCATTCTGAGCAGAAAGAGTAGCATACCCAAAGGCACATGATAGTGTGCACATCAGAAAACTGAAGTGTTTAGTATTCATGGAATGTGTGTTTTGAGGAGGAGAAGGAAAGACATTCAATCCTACCGAGACTTTTTGCCATTTTTGAGGTATCTCCTTCTGCTGTATTCATGCTCCCAGTGAAAATTTCCTCTAAATCCCCATGTACTCCTGTAATCTCAGGTCCTAGGGAAAAAGATGCAGGGGGACCATGCTGAGTAAAATTGCATTATTTATCACTAAGATTCTCTGATAAATTGTGTTGTATCAAAACTGTCCTAACTCAAGACCTATTATAAAAGGAGTCCTGATGCAATCTTAATCTTCAATTATAAACTTTTTCCAATAAAAAAAAAATGGTGTAAAGAATCACAACATCTGGAGAAAACCTAACAATGTGTTTTTCCCTAAGACTCTGAACAACAGCTTGTGTAAGCTATTGACTCTATGATTTTTCCCCTCTACCACACCTTGGTTCTTGCCTGGATTTTGTACCATAACAGCCCTTGAAAAGGAGAGACTATGATGCATATGAATTAACAAAGTCCATGTAAAAACTCTCATCAATCACTTAGCACTCTGGAAATACCATCTCTTAGCACTGTCACCATAATATTGTGTTTATTATAGTGGACATCTAACTTGGGAAACTCAAAGAAGTTGGACCAGGTCAATAATATCCCCCAGCTTTTGGTCCTCTTTTTAATCTAATTGGCATTGTAGGGTCGTAGGTTTACTGTGGTATCCTGGACACTTTGCATGTCACCACATAGACCACATAGACAATGCTTGGCCACAGTTTTGGTGGAATGGCCTTCAAGGGCAGACATCCTGATAAACCACTGTTGCCTACAGTTTCTCATCTGTATCTTATGGGAGATTTTCACAAAACCATTTCTCATCCCTATTCCTAGTGTCAGTTGTATGAAGGTCTACCTTGCCCTCATTTTAGGGTTCAATCACATGTCTCTGTGTGAGTCTATAAACTGCTACATGAGTAATAAGCTTTGTATTTTCATTTGGGCTCATTGTCTTACACATTTATGAAAGTGTGGCAAGTAAATCTAGCAGCTGCCACCACAACGTAACTTACGGGCTGCTTGATCACTTTACAGATTTAGTTACTCCTCTGGTCCATGGGAAATACTGCTTCCTCTTGAGGGAGAACTTATGTTTGGAGATAAAACCAACAGTAATTTCCAACTAATATCTGTAAAATATCTCTATACAGTGAGCATAGAAACATTCTGTCCTATAGCATGTTAAATTTCACCATACTAACATCTATTGGACAGTTACATATGCCAGCCACTGTTCTAAGAGCTTTATACACACAATCAGTTTTAATCCTCACACCAACTCCATTATTAGTTCAAACCTATACATGAAGAAATTGGGGTTTAGAGAATTTAAGGAACTTCCTCATAGTTAGTACTGAGCTAGAATGAGCCATAGCCAAATTTGGAATAGACATAGTCCAATTCCAATGCCCTTATTTTTAACTACAAGGTGATTCAACCTCCCCACTAACAGTGATCACACAAAGTTTGATTTGTGTACATAGCAATCTATCTCACTGTGGATCTTTACGCCAAATAAAACTGATCACCTTATGTGATTAAATGTGATCCCCTCATTTCCTCAGAATATCACTTTCTCTAGTAACAGTCACTTAACCAGTAAGTCATTTCTAAGTTGAGTTTATGTTTTAATCTAAGAGAGGCATTAATACCCCATCCCCAATCATGTGATCATCTTCTACATGATAATTAAACATTTTAACAGGCATCTTTTAAAGTTGCCCTGTTTGGGGGGTCCTGGGTGGCACAGTTGGTGAAGCAACCTACTCTTGGTTTTGGCTCAGGTTGTGATTTCAGGGTCCTGATCTCAGCGTCCTGAGATCAAGGCCCCTGTTGGGCTGTGAGCTCAGCAGAGTGTCTGCTTGAGACCTGCCCCTCCCACTCATGTTCTGTCTCTTTCTCTCTCTCTCTCTCTAATATAAGTAAATAAATTAAAAAAAAAAAATAAGGTTGCCTTTAAAAAAAATTAGCCATTTAAACACATCACACTTATTTAGGCCAGGTAAAGCCCTATCTTTATGAAAATATAAGGAACATGGCAATGAGTGATCCCCAGTAATGGATGTCCTATCTGTCCAAGACTCAAAATCAAATATTGACCTATGTTGCCACATATATACCTTGAAGCTTGTATGTTATTTGCTGTGTGCTGCTAACTACTTTCAGCTTTTCAAAAACAAAATTCCAAGGAAAATTTTCCTTACTATGTCCTCTGCATAGTCGAGTCACATTAGAAATAGCTACCCTTCTGCTCTCCAGCCTCCTTGGGTTCCCATTTTGATTAGATAGAGGTTATGCAGTCATCATCATTTGAACTGACCCTCTTTTCCCTATCAATACCGAGTCCCATGAAAATCAAGAAAGAGAGAAGACAAATGAAAAAAAAGCATTTTCAGAATTAATTTAATCTCTTATTTTATAATATTTACAAGAGCTTTAATTAATGACTATGTATGCAGACAAAATCTTAGTTGTTTTTTGGTAAAATATTATTTTAAACTGGATCTATATACTATGTTTTTCAAGATATTAAAAATGTTCCTAAAACGAAACTTGTTAGGAATACCACAGGAAATTCAATATAGATTTTGTTTATGTCAGTCAAGCAGAATAAAACATTTGGCTCCAAAAAAGTCTTGGCAGAATTTACCAATAAAGAGATTTGATAAACAGTAAGAGAATACTTGCCAATGACAAATCTAGGAACTAATATATAAGATGTATTTTAGATAGAACATTTTATTATGCATATAAAAGAGATAAAATAATTGATCAAATTCTTGATCATTAAGGAACAAAAAGAAATAGCCGTGAAGAATTGTGAAACAAATTTACATGAAAAGACTTACCCTTTATATTTTGTATTGACTTGTAATTCTTCATCAATATCATTTTTATAAATATTCATATCTGAAAATTCATAAAGGGGCACACACAGGATGATATTTTGTTATTGTCCATCTGTACTTTCTAGTTAATGCATAAAGTCATACTAATTTAAATGACTATAACAAATATCTTAGTCTTTGAAAATTGACAGAATTAGTTTTACATATTTTTATTCATTTGTTTCAATTTATGAACTGCAACCCATGGCCTCTGAGTACATGTGCATGATAAAATTATCACAAAACAAATTATAAATAGTAATCACTGACCTCTTTCTTAGCCACTGAACTTTATCAATGGCCTGACCCAAGATCCCACGCCTGGAGGCCAATCAACTTTACCCTGTCAGTTCATAAGGCAAATAAATTTCTAAATATGATCCCCCAGATAAAGAACTGCCAACCTCTAGTTTGATTAAGCTGAGATTCACTGACTGTTGTCTGTAGTAGTTATACAGCAAATTTTAATTATGAAAATATAGAAGCAAAATTTACTACAGTGATCTTATGGAAACTAGTTTATGGATCTAATTCATTTTTTTCTAAGTCAATTTACACCATAAATACAATTTGATAATTTAGAATTTCTATTCTAAAAATAAGTTTACTTCAAGAAATATAGTTTTATTTTAATAAAGGTCTTCATGTTGACAGAATTAACCTAACAGCAACTGGTCTGAAAGCTAAAATAGATTATGAATTTTTCAACAGTTGCATTTTCCACATTTCAATACAGTGACTAGAATTCTGGGGAAATACAAAAGAGTTACTTGGAATTTTGAAATAAAAGTAAATACTTCCTTTTATTCTTTAATGTTTAATAACTGCAGCTATTTTTTTCTTCCTCTCTTTCTCATGTGTTTATGATCTTTACAACACTTTGATATCATTAAAAAGTATGAAAGATTTTTTCATTAGGGTCTTACTCTCAAAGAATAAGATATGAGGGGCTGTGAGGGAAAGAAAGAACAGAGAGAGAGAGTCAGAAAAGATGACAAGTCCTTCTTTAAAACTGTATTCACGTGGAAGTGGAGTCTCCTGAATTAGATCAAAACAAATGAAGAAATAGTGAAAAACTGCACAAAAACTCAAGGTTTAAAAAGAGTACTATTAAGTATTCAGAATGTGTACTATAGGTAAGTAAGGGAAAATTTTGATATGTTAAAGTCAGATTTTTTTTTGAGTAGTTAACAAAAGAGAATCTGTCCTAAGACAAACATGAAAAGATATACTATGTTTATATGGAGGCAGAAAACACCAAGAAGAGCCAACACAATATTGAAAAAGAAGAACAAAGTTGGAAAACAGATAGTACATGACTTCATGACTTATTATAAAGATACAGTAATCAGGACAGTGTGGCATTGGCTAAAGAATAGACAAATATCAATGAAATAAAATCCAGAGACCAGAAATAGACCCACATAAATACAATCAACTGATTTTTGAAAAATGAACAAAGGCAATACAATGGAGTCAAGATCGTCTCTCCAACCATTGGTGCTGAAACAACTGGACATTCCCAGGGAAAAAAATAAAGCTAGACAGAAACCTTACACCTTTCAAAAATGAACTAAAAATAGGTCATAGGCTTAAATGTAAAATACAAAACCATAACACTCCTAGAAGATAACATAAGGGAAATGTAGGTGACCCTGGATATAGTAACAACATTTTAGAAATCGCTGATAAATGGGACTTCACTGACATCAAAAACTTCTGCTCTCTGTAAGATCCTGTCAAGAGAATGAGAAGACAAACCACAGATTGGGAGAAATATTTGTAAAAGACACAGCCATTAAAGGACTGTTATCCAAAACATACAAAGAATTCTTAAAATTCAATAAGAAAACAAACAAACCAGTTAAAAAGTAGGCCAAAGACCTTAACAGATACCTCACCAAAGAAGATATGCAGATGGAAAATAAGCAGATGAAAAGATATTCCAAATCATATGTCATCAGGGAAATGCAAATTAAAATAGCAATGAGATACCAGTACAAGCCTATTAGAAAAGCCAATATCCAAAATGCTGGCAACATCAAACACTGACAGGGATGTGGTGCAACAGAAACCCACTCATTATTGGTGGGAATGCGAAATATTACAATCACTTTGGAAGACAGTTTGGCTGTATCTTACAAAACTAAACATACTCTTACCATACAATCTAGCAACTGCACTCCTTGGTATTACCCAAAGCCTTGAAAACATATCCACACAAAACCCTGCACACTGCTGTTTATAGCAGTTTTGTTTGTAATTGTTAAAACTTGGAAGCAACCAAGATGTCCTTCCGAAAGTGAATGGATACATAAATTGTCGTACCTCCAGACAATGGAATATTATTCAATGCTAAAAAAAAAAAAAAAACAGAGAAGAGAGAGAGCTATTTAACCATGAAAAGACATGAAGGAAACTTAAGTGCATATTACTGAGTGGAAGAAGCCAAAGACTATGTACTGTATGATTCCAACTATATGACATTGTGGAGAAGGCAAGGCTACTGAAATAATAAAAAGATCAGTGGGGGAGGAACCTATCAGCAGTATATTCAGTAATACGGCATGGAAATGTTCAGAAGTATTTGGTTTTGAAATGACATTAAAGCCAGGGATCAACATTAGTGTCCAGTTCCAACTTTTGTTAGAAACTAAATTACTTTGGGGTGCCTAGGTGGCTCAGTCAGTTAAACAACTGACTCTTGGTTTTGGCTCAGGTCATCATCTCAGGGCCCCGAGTTCCAGCCCTGTGTTGGACTCCACGCTCAGTGGAGAGTCTGCTTCTCTAACCTCTTCCTTTGCCCCTCCCCCTACTGGTGCGTGTGCACTCTCTCTCTCTCTTTCTCTCTCTCTCAAAAATAAATAAGTAAATCTTTAAAAAAATTCTAAAAAACAAGAAATTAAGTTACTTTATTAAGATTTTAGTGCAATTAACCCATCTGGACATTCTTCCTGGTTTCATTATCCACTCAACACTAGACAGCTGAATTTCTACTAATGCTTCTGATCAAGTGAACTGTTTCATCCATATTTACATGGACATTTAATAATGTTTATATCTATTTAAATTTATATTTGCATAATGCATTTTTTCTTTTAACAAATGGAAGGCATTATTCTTTCAAATTATTGTTTAAAAATTAGAGTATGGATGCTATAAAACTCAAATTGAGGCACTTTGAAACTTGTTTAAATTTGGTCACTTTGAAAAAAAAAATTTGGTCACTTTGCATCGAAAATTAATTAATTACCAACCAAGCCAATCTATCTTACTGTAACCATTTAAAAGAAGCACTGGAAAGACATGTTTATATGGTATCATGATTTACAATAAGAAATATATATTTAGTCTTTGTACCCATTTCTGGCACAGAGCTCCTAAAAGTCTTTGAATTTCCTAGTGATAAGCACAGTAATGGTATCTTTCTGTTATATTAATGACCTATGGATGGGGGCTGGTTGCCAGAAGAACCAACCATGCTTATTAAAAGGTTGGAACTTTCAGTCTCATCTTCAACCTCTGGGGTGGGAAAGGAGGCCTGGAGATTGAATCAATTGCCAATGGCCTATAATTTAGTTGATCATGCCTATGTAATGAAGCCTTCATAAACACTCAAAAGGAGACTGTTCAGAGAAGCTTCCAGGTTGGTGAACAAATGGAGGTGCTGGGAAAGTGACGTACATGGACAGGACAGGGAAGCTCAGTGCCCTTTCCCCCTACTCTGCCCTATGCATCTCTTCCATCTGGCTGTGCCTGAGTTATTTCCTTTTATAATAAACCAGTAACATAGTAAGTAAAATGTTTCTCTAAGTTATAGAGTTAGAACTGCTCTAACAAATAAATCAAACCTGAGGAGTGGGTCATGGGAACCTATGATTTATAGCCAGTTGACCAGAAACACAGGTAAGAACCGCAGCTTGCAGTTGATATCTGAGGTGTGTGTGTTGTGGGGAGGGGCCAGAAGAGAAAGAGAAAGACTAAATTCTTAACCTGTGGAATCTAATGTGATCTCTGGGTAGATAGTGTCCTGGAACTGGATCCAGAAACCCAAAAGAATTTGTTATTGTAAAAGTAGTTAAAAAAAATCCTTCTTGGGGCACCCGGCTGTCTCAGTCAGTAGAGCATAGGACTCTTGATCTCGGGGTTGTGAGTTCAAGCCCCACATTGGGTGTAGAGATTACTTAAAATTAAAATCTAAAAAATAAAATCTTTCTTGAAGAATATATTAAATTTCAAAGATGAAGAAGCTAAGATTTTTCTCATACTGTATCTCATACGTATGACTTGAATGACAGACATCATCTGATTGTGATGCTCTAACTGGTAAATTATAGTTGTTGACATGAAAATGAAAGAGGAAAAAGTGCTGAGGCAAGCAAAGCATAGCATTCTTATTTCAGTATGTATCTTTTTCTCTTCTCCAAATTTGCACTTAATTTTCAGAGTAGCATGATAACTTCTCTCAAGAGCCATCATTCATTCCCAAATATCATTAGAAAGGTTACAAATTTAAATCTTAGCAAATGGGCAAATTTGGAACCTTACATTAGAATACACAGATAATTTACTTAATCTTTAAGAAATGAATATTTAGCAAAAAAGAAATGGACCTACTTATTCAGAGGATATTGCAATTATGTTTACTTCTTCTTAGCACTTACTATCAAAACTGACCCAGAGACTTCTTTCTTTTTTTTTTTTTTTTAAAGATTTTATTCATTTATTCATGAGAGACAGAGAGAGAGAGAGGCAGAGGGAGAAGCAGGCTCCCAAGGAGCAGAGAGCCTGATGCGGGACTCGATCCCAGGACCCTGGGATCATGACCTGAGCCGAAGGCAGACGCTTAACCATCTGAGCCACCCAGGCGCCCCAGAGAGTTATTTCTTGAGAATTTTACCTCCTAACACCATTCTAAGATATTTCCGTTCAAAAAAACCATACATTTTCCTATGATCTTATATCATTGTTATAAAGTAATAGTGATTACTATAATAAAATATCAAATCTAAATATAACAGC